CTACTTAAAATACAAAAAAATTAGCTGGGCGTGGCAGTGTGTGCCTGTAGTCCCAGCTACTCGGGAGGCTGAGGCAAGAGAATTGCTTGATCCCGGGAGGCAGAGGTTGCAGTGAGCTGAGACAGTGCCACTGCAGTCCAGCCTGAGCAAAAAGAGTGAAACTCTGTCTCAAAAAAAAAAAGACACATCACCAGAGGTGCCAGACCCGAGCCCCCGATTCACCTTTCTGCAAACCTAACTGTGTGGTGTCACATCTCTCAGGAAGATGAAGAAGCTCATCCGTTACCTGAAGCTGAAGCGGCAGAGCCCCCCTGACCACGAGGAGTGTGTGAAGAGGAAGCAGCGGTATGAGGTGGATTACAACCTGGAGCCCTTCGCGGGCCTCACCCCAGAGTACATGGAAATGAGTGAGTGACAGCCGGGACAGGCAGGTGACGTCAGGATAGAAATCAGGCCAGCATGCCACCTGGAGTGGGGAAGGGCTGCAGGGGCATGATGCCCCTGACCCCGCGGTGCCCAGCATCCCTCCGGAAGCACTGGGCGGGGAGGAGGGAGATGCAGACCCTGGGATCCTGGTGCTGCTGCTCCCTTGGGTAGGTGAGCATGGCTGTCCTGTCTTCCAGAGGCCCAGGTCAAGCAGCCATGGTCCCCAGGCACGGTCCCCAGGCATGGTCCCCAGGCACGGTCCCCAGGCACGGTCCCCAGGCACAGTCCCCAGGCACGGTCCCCAGGCATGGTCCCCAGGCACAGTTCCCTTCAGTGCAACCCGAACCCGGCCTCGGCTGTGCAGCTCTTCCTCCTCCCTCAGTCTCCCTCAGCAGCCGAGGGCTCAGCCCTGCTAAGCTACAAGATCCTCCTCACTTGAAACCCCCCGCAATCCGAGGTCCCTCGTCTCAGCCCCAGGGCCCTTCAAGCCTCCTACTTTGGGTCCATGACCCATCTCCCCTTCCTGGTGGTGAGCTCCTGAGTTGCAGGAGCCAGGACTTGCTCACCTGTGGGCTGGCGACAGCTGCCCCTAGCACAGGGCAGGTGCTCAAAGGAGACCCAGGGATTGAGCCTTACCCCCCCCCCAATCGTGTGACTGGCCAGGAGGATGCCAAGAGGCGGCACATACCTTTAGGGGGTGGCCAAGGGGAGCTGGGAAGATGCCAGGTGCGGTCCGCACGGCTCTGGACTCTCCCTGACTTGGTCACTTACCTCTCCCTCCTGCTCCTGTGCTTTGCACATGCTGGCCTCCTTGCTGCTCCCCAGCCCCACGGAGCTTGGGCCGCCCCAGGGCCTTTGCACTAGATGTGCCCTGCTGGAATGCCCTCCCCCAAATACCTGCATGACTCACTCTCTCCTGCCTGCCGGGCTCTATTCGGAATGTTCCCCAACAGAGAAGCCTTCCCTGACCACCGTGTTTGAAAGGGGCAGCCCCTGCCCGACACGGCCACGACCCCCACCCCTCCTCTGCTTGGTGCTTCTGCTTCCCAGCAGACAGCCTCACCCCGTCATCCCTCTTCTGTCTCCCCTGGTAGGATGGCAGCCTCGCCCTCTCTTACTCCTCATCCCATAGCCCTGCTCCTAGAGCAGGTCCAGGTATACAGTGGGTGCTCAATGGGTGTTTGCTGACTGAATGGATGAGCAGAGGCAGTCAGGAAGACTGCTGCAGACGGGGCTCCCAGCATGCCGTGCCCCTGGCCACCAAGGTCAATTTCTCTAAAATGCCCGTTCCCAGGCTTGTTCCTGGTCTGCTGCAGGTGAGACCTGGCAGGCTGCATTTTGAACAAAGGCCTGGGGGTAAGGGCCCCTTAGAGGGCGGGGAGCATTTCTGTTTAATTTCACCGCAAGTGCTGCCCTGTGCCCCTCCTGTTGGCCGAAGTGTCCACATATGTCGCTCCTGGCTCCCCAGACAATTGTGCAAGGAGCACCCTGCCGCTGACCAGAGGAGAGGAATCTTAAGTGTGGCCTTCTGTGGCTCCTCTCTGTTTTCTCCTGGAATAAAGTCCAAGCTGAACCAGAGTCAGGCCAGTGGGCAAACGGCTCCCAGCTGTTTAAACTCAGCATTGGCCACTCGTCCAGGAGGGACGGGGTCTGGGAGGTGGCCTCCCCTGCCTGCAGGGTCACTCCTTCCACAGGAAACCCCAGGGAGAATAGAGCCCCAGACACCAGCACAGCCTGCAGTGGGCCACGAGACTGGCAGCCCCTTCCCTGGATTTATTTTCCTAGTGGCTGGACGTCACGTCCCGAGTTCCTGATGGGTTTGGACAAAGGGGATTTCTGGAGCAGGCGCCTCCTGCCCACATACACGGGGAATGGTTCACCTGTGCCCCACCCTGCCCCCACTGACCGAGGCACATTTCCACACCCACTGGCTCTCTCCCCACCCCGTGGGCTGCCAGTCTGTTCCTCCAAGGAAGGCTCAAGCCACGGATGTGGATAGATGGGGAGAACAAGCCCATTTGGAAATGCCCCACCTCCCCACCCCCTGTACCCTCCCTCCCTGGCCCCAGCCCTGGCAGTGTCTCCAGCCCCCCGGTCATACCCTTAGTGCCAGAGTAGGCAGCACCACTCGGAAGTGAGAAAGCCCACCCTGGTGAGTGACCCACAGCCTCAGGCCTCAGCAGCCCCCGGCCCTCATGCACAGCACACACCACCCTACATAAGCAATCCCTCATCCCCTCCAGGGACCTCAGGCAGGACCAGAGAACTCCCACTCAGCCCACCTTGCCAGGGCGAGCAAGACAGCCCAGGGACAGAACTTGCAGGGCACTCCCCGCCATGGCCCATCCTACATGCTAACAGTGCTCACACTCAGGGCACCCCGCACGGCCTACCCCACATGCTAACAATGCCCACACTCAGCCCGCCAGGCACACAGTGACATTCTGCCGGCTTCCTTGTTTACCGCCTGGCACCAAACTCCCTTGGACTGGGTCCTGCTGTGCAGTTCCTGAACCAGCTTTCCTGCTCAGTTCCACTCAGCAACCTTTTCCTGACCTTCTCCTAGGAGCCCAGCCCCGTGCTGGATGCAGCATCCAAAGCCAAAGAAGCCCCAGAGCCAGCTCCTGGGTGGGACAATCCCCAGGGGCAGGGCCGCAGGGGCAGAGGCGAGGAACTGTCCTTGGTCCCACCCGGATCCAGGAGGCCTGATGCAAGGGAAAGTTTGGGGCTCTGGAAGATGCAGCCATGCAGGCAGGTCCCCCAGGTCCCAGGGAGCCCCCATGATGGAAGCAGCAGAGCCACTGCCACGTCCCTTCCCAGCACAGGCAGGGGAATGACCACAGGCTGGGCCTGTGAGCTCACAATGGTCCTTTTCCTTTTGGTGATGATTTTTTTAAATTTGACATAGGCTGGCGAGGTGGCTTATGCCTGGAATCCCAGCACTTTGGGTGGATGACTTGAGCTCAGGAGTTTGAGACCACCCTGGGCAACATAGCAAAATCCCAGCTCTACAAAAAATACAAAAATTAAGTAGTCATAGTGGTGCATGCCTTGGTCCCAGCTACTCGGGAGGCTGAAGTGGGAGGATTCATTGAGCCTGGGAGGTCGAGGCTGCAGTGAGCCATGGTTGTGCCACTGTACTGCAGCCTGGTGACCGATCGAGACCATCTCAAAAAAGATTAGCCGTAGCTAAGTGAGCACTCCCTTTATTCAAGAGTCCAACACAGATTCAGAGCAAAATTTGGAATTCTGCCTTCAGCCCAATCCTGGAGGTCACCCAGGGTCACAGAGGGTCCGTCCCAACAGGTGGCCTATGCAAGTGGGCTTGTTGGAGGTGGGGCAGCAGCCAGACCTGTGCAGCTCGGCACACAGGGTGGTGGAGTCCCCACTTATGGGCTGTGGCTCATGGGGTGCTGACTGGCACTGGGCTCTCTCTGCAGTCATCCAGTTTGGCTTTGTCACCCTGTTTGTCGCCTCCTTCCCCCTGGCCCCGCTGTTTGCGCTGCTGAACAACATCATTGAGATCCGCCTGGACGCCAAAAAGTTTGTCACTGAGCTCCGAAGGCCGGTGGCTGTCAGAGCCAAAGACATCGGTGAGTGACCCCACGGGCCGGCAGGACCAGTTCCACATGCGTGCTGGGTTTGGGGAGGGGATTGCCACGCTCCAGAAGCTAGAGCCAGAGCTGACCAGGTGTCCCTCCTGGGGCTCT